TAAACTGTTCAAGTAGATAACGAAAATGTATGATACTATAAATGAGCTAAACCTAATTTATAACGTCAGGGTGAGAACAGTTCCTTATACTTTGACATAGGACAGGGTAGTAATAAAGTAGCACAGATGGTGTAACTTGATCTTGAAATCCCACTGCATTTCAACACATTTAAATTCATTGACTATTGCTGTATAACATCCACCCCAAAAATCAAGGATTTATTATTTTGGTGGGGATGGTTTCCTGCACTTATTTCACCAGAACTCTCATGTGTATGCAATCAACTGGAAGATCAACCAAGCAAGAAAGTAGAAGATGGTCTCACTGCCTGTCTGGAGGCTGGTATTGGCTATCAGCTAGTGTTCCTCCTGTCTCTTACATATGTGTCCACTCATGCTCCAGAAGCTAGACCAACTACTTTAGTTTCCTGACATAGCACTATCAGGGCAGCATTCCAAGAAAAGAAAGGCAAAACTCAGGCCTCATGATGCCTGGGCTTCAACCTCACATAATTTAGTTTTGCCACATTCTAGTGGTCAAGGGAAATCACATATCAGCCTACAATGGAAAACAAATTCCATTTGCACCCATGTGGGAGACCCAGTGTTTTTGTTTGTTTGTTTGTTTTTTAAACTTGAAAAGATCCTATAAGAAGAAAGAGAGAAAAGAGGATGAACAAAGAAACAGAAATTCAGTAAACTATGGAGAGACTGAGTTGTACAAGTTATAGAACAGTAATAGCACCATTAATTATGTACAACTCTTCCCTAGCATTTATTATTTGCAGAATTTGTGAAAAGCATTTGTATGTAATACCTCATTTACTCTTCCTTTGAAATAGATTTCTTTAGTATCACTATTTTATATATGTTTAAACCAGGTACAGAGAATTTAAACAATTTCCCCAGGTCATGCAGTAACTACGTGGCAGAGTTGGTATTGAAACCCAAGTAGAGCTGAGTCTAGAGTGCATGCTTTTAACTCTAACACTATACTTTTAATCTGTATAAAACAAGAGGCAGTCTCAAAATAATCTCATATGTACTTTACAGAATCTTTGATCTTAGCTTTTTTATTTTTTTTTAAAGATTTATTTATTTATTTGAGAGACAGGGCCACATACAGAGGAAGAGACAGGGAGCAAGGTCTTCCATCCACTGGCTCAACCCCCAAATGGCCACAAAGGCTCGAATTGAGCCAGTCTGAAGCCAGGAGCCAAGAGCTTCCCCAGGTCTCCCATGTGGGTACAGGGGCCCAAGCAATTGGGCCATCTTGCACTGTTCTCCCAGGCCATTAGCAGGGAACTGGATCTGAGGAGGAGCAGCCTGGATATGAACCAGCACCCATATAGGATGCCAGTACTGCAGGCAGAGGCTGAACACACTACACCACAGCACTGGCCACAGATCTTAGTTTTTATCACAATTTTTCATGTGTTTTTTTTGGAGGTGTTATTATTAGGTTAGTTAATTTTAATAATATGTAAATGACAACAATAATAAATATTTTTAAAATAACTAAATTCAGTAAAGTCTCTATATTTCTTATATCTGTGCCAATTTAATAATTCAAAAGGAGACTCATGTGTTCTCAGTTATATATTTGTTATTAGCTTAATTGTTTTGCAGTAACTGAACCACTTTACTAAAACCAGTTACAGCTAAGTATATTTTAAGTAACTTGTATGGAATTGACAGATTATCCAGAGTTAATAAATTGGTGAATTATTTCAAGACTTTTTTTTCATTTAACTTAAATATAACTGTTTGTTCAAATGCAGCTCATTTATTTTTGCAATAGTTTTTGAGCATTACAACATTAAAATATCCTGCAGTGCATGATATATGTACTCAATGTGTATGTGCATCTTACATGAGTACATTACACAGTACTTGGTATCTCTGCCACCACTCCCTAAAGCCCAAGGATGGCCTTCCCTCCTATCAGTGTGCCAACCAAGTGACCCCACAGATATCCAAAGTGCTTCCTCTGTGGGGCATCACACTGGTGAGGAGTGTTCCTCTGTGTATCTGAGCCCTCCACCTCTTTGATGCCATCTTTCACTACTGTCCCTTTTTCTCACTCTTCTCCAAGTTGGCCGATTTCTTTATCGCTTCAAATATGCAATCATACTCCCCTTTTAGGACCCTTGCCTTTGTCACTCCTTCAGTTCTCTTGTGCAGTCACTTGCTTTCTCCTTGTCTCCTATTAAATGCCCTATTACCATTGCAGCTTCACATGAACATGCTCTATGCAGAACGGATCAAATGTGAAGAACATCCAGCCCATGGGCCCTATGAGGCCCATGGTATCATTTGGTTTGGTCCTGCCAAGGTGACTGAAGTTGGGACTCAAAATTCAATAAATCTATGGTGGGCTACTTTTAAGTTGATAATTTTGTATGGCCTGCAAATGAATGATGTTATACACATCCAAACAGGCTCTGGAAGAAAAAATGTTCCCCACTCCTGCACCGGCATTCTTTATCTTTTCCATGTATTTTTTGCTTTTCTTTTTCTATTGTCTTATAGGAAAAGATAGCATAATGATTCAGCCTGTGTTCTCTAAAGTTAGGCTGCCTGGGTTTAAAAAGAATTCCCTTTTCTATCTGTGTAACACTAAGTTAATTCAATTTATGTGCTTCACTTTTCTAGTCTGTTAAATGGGGATGATAATAATAGAAATAATAACCATATAAAATATTGTTAAAGCCAAATGAGTTATTTATACAACATTATTAGAGCAGTACTAAGCACATGGTTAAACATATATACATTTGTGATATAATTATCTTGCACAACATACAATTAATGATTCTCTTTTCTGCTATAAAGTGAACTCCACAAGGATGTAGGCTTCATTCATTGTTTTACTGCCAGGGTCTAAAAGGGAGACATAGACCATATTATGTACTTAATGAGTATTTATTGAATAAATGGATAGTCACAACAATTATATTCTGTATCTGGGTAGTTTTACAGTTTAACAGGTTCTTTCACACTATACTAAATCTAAAGAAGGGAGTTACTATTTTCCATGTGGGTACTGGGACAACTTTCACACAAGTGATACTGTTGGTAAGCAACAGAGTTAGAAATGAAATGTATTCTCTGATTACAAATGTTATCTCATTTTATCTCTCTACCAATTGCTTAAGCCTTATTTTTTCATAAATTCGCTCATTTTCATTTTATTTGGAAGATGTAGAGACAAAAGAGTGAGACAAAGAGAGAAAGAGGGAGAGAAAGAGAATCTTCCATCAGCTGATTCACTCTTTCTCTTTAAATATCTGCAACAGTCAGGGCTAGCTCAGGCTGAAATCAGGTGCTAAGAACTCAGTCTGGGTCTCCCACATGGGTGGCAGAGCCAGAATTATTTGAGGCATCTCCTGATGCCTTCCCTAGGTGCCCACTGGCAAGAAACTGGATCATAAGTGAAGCCTAGATTTGAACCAGGCATTCCTATAAGGGATGTGGTAATAACAAGCAGAATCTTAACCATTGTGCTAAATATCTACCTTGGCAATTATTTTATTGAATGAATTATTTCATTTAAAAAAGAAACTCAGCAATACTTTTCAAACTTCTTTGTAGTTGAATGAAAGAGCCTATAACAAATTCATATTTTCAGAGGTAATTAATGGGCAATGTGATTTGTGTTCATTTTTACAGTCAAGTATAAATTTGGTCATTTTCTCTTGAATCTATATCCCAGGTAGTAGAAACTATATGGTGCAATCCAGATTACTTTCTTTTATTGTTAGGGGAGGGGTATGGAAGTAGCTGATTTTGAATATTTGTATTATGGTTACCTAAGGATTCACAAGTTTTGAGACTTTCTAGAATATGTTCAATTTCCTTAATGGCTTTTGAAAACTAGAAAAATAAACTTTAAAGATTTATTATTAATTTTTATTTATTTATTTATTTGAAAGGCAGAATGAGAGAGAGAGAGAGAGAGAGAGAATTTTCCATTTGCTAGTTCATGCCCCATTTGGACACAAAATCTGGGAGCCAAGAACTCCCTCCAGGTCTCCCTTGTGAGTGACAGTGGCCCAAGTACCAACATTATCCTCTGCTGCCTTCTCTGGTGCATTAGCATAGAGCTGGGATGAGAATGGCCAGTCCTGTATGGGTGCCAGTGTAGAAAGCAGTGACTTAACTTGCTGTGCCACAGTGGTGGCCCCAAGATTAATATTTTATATTCACTTTGCTTACAGAAGTAAAAGAAAATAGGTATGTTATGAGTCTTCTGTTCTGACTTAGTGGGGATGATACTGGATAATGAAAATAAATATATTTTTCATAGAAATTTATTAGTGACCACACTTAAACATTCAACTTATAAATTCAATTTTGAATGTGATAATTTTATTGAGGATTCTTGCAAAGCCAAACACCACTCTTATTAAAATAATTCCCATGTTTGTATTATTTAGCAATTACTTCCTACTAAAATATTTCTTATTTTTCAAAAATATTACCATTTCTCCAGAGTTTAATAATAATTATATTAAAATGCTAAGCTCTATTGTCTGATGGAAAGGCCACTATAAATGGGTATAGACAAAATATGTTTTCAATAATCTTTATCCACTGTTTAATCAGAAGTAAGTCATTTATCTGTATCTCAGTTTTCTCAGCTAAAAAAACTAGGGCATTTCTTCTGCTTGCTTTTCAGAATAGTGACACTAATAATAATAAAAATAAAATTAATTCTTTTATTGAGAACATCTCATGCACTATGCAGTGCATTGGGGGTTTGTATGCAGGTTCTCATCCAGTCCTGGAAAGATCCCTGTGGGGCTGACATCCTTATTTCCATTCCACTGATGGAAAGCAGGTGTATCTTCAATGAAACATCAAGCATTTTTTTTTCCATTCACATTTTATTGCCTTTTCCACATTCTGTAATTACCCTGGAAAATCAGCGAAAAAATGGGCAAGTGGGCAGAAAACAGCCAGTCCTGCTGGAATAGAGAAAAGAGCAATTCTCTTACCTCATAAGTGCTGGTGATGCCAGATCTGTAGAACACGGGCAGAAAGAGCTCTGATGTGAAGATGATGACAAGCGTATACGCAATGAAGAAGAGTATGAAGGAGGCCCCAAAGCGGTACACATCAGAAGGGGTCCCCAGGACAGTGACAGCAGACATGAAGCTTGCTGTCAGAGACAAGGCTACTGGGCCAAAGCTCATTTGTCTTCCCCCTACCAGGAACTCCCGAGAAGTTGCCTTTTTTCTCTCCTTAATGGCAAAGAAAACCCCAATTCCAGAGGAAACAATAAAAAGGGCTGCAAATACAACATAATCCCAAACTGCAAAGTTCTTCACCTCCATGCTGGTAAGTATGACACGAGAGAGTTGCGTTCAACCAGAAGATGTTTCCAACAGCAAAGCTCAGAGCAGGTGATGCTTTGCTAAGAGGGGGGTTGTGAAAACCTGCAGAGACTGAAGATCAGAGGCACTTGTACGTATCTTCAGACACCAAGCTGCATTTAGGGGAAATCTCAAAATTGATTGCAAAGAAGAATCTGGTATTGGTACCAACAGATGAGAAGTCGAAACCTGACCCAGCAAAGAGCTGTCTGCTCCTCTCTCAAGCATACACCACAAGGAAGGAATTCAGATGAGCTCTGAAATTAATAACTGCTGGGGGTGGAATGGACTTGCCAGATAACACTCTCTTTTATCGCCTAGATTTTTGTAACTTAAGGTTAAACATTTCTGGGAAATGTGGAAGTGATAAAAGTTGACCACCTCAGCATTTTCAGATGGTGAATTGGAATCTGTAAAATGCAAACACAATCTTCCTCGGAAGTCTCTCCTGAGTAAGGGAGAGTGGATGATGTGTACCTGCAATTGCTTGAGGCTGTGGGTGTGGAGGGAGAGGAGCAAAGAACAGGGGATCCGGGGACCTTTGCTCAAGTCCTGGTTCCACCTGGAGCGAGCAAGTGAGTGCAGATAGATTTTACAAATCATTTAACAGTTCTGACCTTCTCCTGGAACACCGGAATTATAAAACCTGACAGGTTATTATGAGTCTTTCAGGCTCAAAATTCCTGACCCTCTTTGTCCTGATCCGAAAAATGAAAGACAATGTTATCTATCCTGCAGGCTATTGTTTCTGCTCACTGTGGAACGCCCTGAACATAATATTCTTTGACTCTAGGACTCAGAAAATGGATGTACTAATAATGCACTAATCATGTGTAACCTTAATGTTCTCTCCTTTGTTTTCACCAAGTTACTGTGCTTGTATCTGGAGGCTGTTAGAACCAGGACAAATGAAAGAAGGAAGGTGGAAAAAAAAAAAAAAAACAAAGAAAAGAAAGGGGAAAATTAAATAAACAACAACCATAATAATCTGGGTTTCCTCATAGTCAGGTTTCCTTTGTTTAAATTATTGATGACTAATAGTTCAATATGTTCTTGATAAGTATGGCAAATCGCAGTATTTTAAAGATGACAATTAACCTTAAGTGTATTTGTGAATGCACAATTTATTCCCAGATTAATAATAAACTGAAATATATGCAGATTATTAAAAAAATGAAAATCCAGTTTTACGAATGCCGGTTTCTAGCCTCACGAACGACTTTGTTGATTTTTCTTAAGTACATCAAGTAAGCCTTTGGGGGACATTTCTCAATCATTCATGTTTCTCCTTCCTCCCAAGTGATCTTTTTTGCCCCCAGCTCTCTGAAGTTTATTTACTCCACAAGATCTACTTTGAGTCTCCTCTACTCCCTCTGGCTTTTCCTATCTCTCCAACCCAACTTCTGTAGACAACAGTCTCCCCAGTCTCCCCCAATACTCCCTCACACTTACTTCCTACTCTGTAATTATTTTCTCCTATTTTAAAGAATCTCCACATATCTGTGTCTGTAGGAGTCTGCAAGGTGTTGCAGATGACCAATTCCTTAAAAACAGAGACAAACGACCTAGTTCATACATCCAGTAAGTACTCAAGAAAGCTGTTATGTGAGTTAAGGAAATAATCGTCAAAAGAAAAAAAAATTGAACTTACCTATCATTTCCAAATATCAGAAACATTTCTAGTCAAACAGAGAAAATTCTAATTTTGTTTTTGACATCCAGATAACTGAATAAATCTTTAGTTACTTGTTTAGTCCAGATATCATCGTCATGCCCTACTTTTCCCCATGCCTTTGAACTAGGCCCTAGAGAGCGCTAACAACCAAAATATGCTTTCAGCTACAAATAATGATGTGAATACTCCGCCAGGAGCTGTCTGTGCCCTAATTGTTTCAATTATTCCTCAAGATTTATACAGCTGATACCTTCCGTTTTAATGAAAAACTAAGACTTTAACATCGTTACCTTAATCAAGGCTTTTCATTGTTTTTATTATGAGATGCAGCCATTTCTTATCTTATTGTTTCATCTTATTCCACATCACAGATATTCTATTCTTTACAAGTTGAATGTGGCAACTCTACATCAAGCAAGTCTATTTACACAGTTTTCCAACACTGTGTGCACACTTTGTGTCTCTTTGTCACATTTTGGTAATTCTCCCAGTACTTCAAATGTTTTTCCTTATTGTTACATCTGCTATGGTGACCTGTGATCTGTGACTTCAGATGTTGCTAATTGTTTTGAAGCACCATTAACCGTGACTTTGTAAGATAATAAATTCAATAGATATTGTGTTTGTTCTTACTGCTCTATTGAGCAGCCATCCCCCAACTCTCCCCCTCTCCTAGGGCCTCTCTGTGGCCCCAGACATCAAACATTGAATGCAGGCTAATTAATAAGTGAAAAGAAGAGTTGCATGCCTCTCATTTTAAATAAAAAATTAGAAATAATTAAGTTTACTGAGGATGGCATGTCAGAAGCTGGGACAGACCAAAACCTAGGCCTGTTGAGCCAAACAATTAGCCAGATTGTGAATTGAAAAGAAAAGTTCTTTAAAGAGACTGAAGTACTACTCCAATAAAGACATGAATGATAAGAAAGTGAAAGTCTTTCTTGATAATGGAGAATGTTTCAGTGATCTGGATAGAAGAGAAAGCCAACTACTGTATTCCATAAGGTCAAAGCCTAGTCCAACAAAAAGTCCTAATCTCTCCTCAGCTTTATAGTATTCGATACAGAGGTGAAAGAAGTTGCAGAAGGGAAGTTTAAGGCTACCAGAGAATGGTTCGTGAGATTTAAGGAAATAATCCTTCTATATAATGTGAGAGTGCAAAGTGAAGCAGCAAATGCTTATGTAAAACTGTAGCAAATGAACCAGAAGATGTAGCTGAGATAATTGATAAAGGTGGCAATAGTTAACAACAGATTTCCAGTGTAGATTAAACAGCCTTATATTGGAAGAAATTGCCACCAAAGATTAGCACAGCTAGAAAGAGCAGTCAATGACTGCAGGACTTCAAAGATTCAAAGGACAGGCTAACTCTTTGTGGGAAAGTAGTGGCTATCTTTTTAAAGATTTACTTATTTTATTTGAAATGCAGAGTTATGGAGACAGAGAGAGAGAGAGAGAGGTATCTTCCATCCATTGGTTCACTCCCTAAATGGTCAAAACGGCTGAAGTTGGATTAGACCAAAGCCAGGGGCCAGGAGGTTCCTCTGTGTTTCCTACATGGGTGGAGGGGCCCAATCGCTTGGACCATCCTCTACTCTCCCCTTGGCACAATAGGCTGGAGCTGGATTGGAAGTGGAGCAGCCAGGAATTGAACCATGCTGGTGCTGCAGACAGCAGCTTAATTTGGTATGCCATACAGCGAGCCCCAGAGTAGTTACTTTAAGTTGATGTGACTGTTCATTTTCCAGCTTGAAAATTATAAGTCCCTTACAAATTATACTAAATTTACTTTGTCTGTGCTCCATAAAGGAACAAAGACTGGATGATAGTGCATGTGTTCACAACATGGTTTAGTGAGTGTATGAAGCCCACTACCAATAATTTTTGCCCAGAAATAAAAGATTCCTTTCTAAGTGTTACTGCTCACTGGCAATGCATCTGATCACCCAAGAGCTCTGATGGAGACACACAATTAGGTTAATGTTGTTTCTATGTCTGCTAACATAGCATTTGTTCTGTAGCCCATGTATGAGAGTAATTATGACTTTCAAATCGTATTTTTTCCTTTGGCACATTTATTTTATTGTACAATGATTAACTGATTAAAGAAAAAAGCAAAAGACCATACATTGTTCAACAAGAATATGTGCAGGGGCTATAAAATACTAATCACATAAAAAGATGTCCATTTCATTAAATTTTAAAATTATCACAAATCATCAAACTTAAAGTAATATAGCATTCCTAACCATTATCTTGACAAAGATATAAAAACAAGTTTGACAAAACTATATTTGCAGCAATACTGATACACACAGGGCATTTCTTTCTTTCTTCCTTCCTTCCTTCCTTCCTTCCTTGCTTCCTTCCTTCCTTTCTTTCTTTCGTTTTTTGATTTTCTTTTTTTTCTTTTAGCTCCAATTATTTTTTTTTATCTTTTATTTAATGAATATAAATTTCCAAAGTACGTCTCATGGGTTACAATGGCTTTCCCCCCCATACCGTCCCTCCCACCCACCACCCTCCCCTTTCCCACTCCCTCTCCCCTTCCATTCACATCAAGATTCATTTTCGATTATCTTAGTATACAGAAGATCAGCTTAGTATACCTTAAGTAAGGATTTCAACAGTTTGTTCCCACACAGAAACATAAAGTGAAAAATAATAGATGATTTTTTTTTTTAAATGATGATGAAATCAGATCAGACCTATTGTCATGTTTAATCCCAGTGAGAGTCAAGTTGGGAATTGATAGTTTCTTTTCTTTTTTTTTTTTTTTTAACAGAAGATCAGTTTAGTGTACATTAAGTAAAGATTTCAACAGTTTGCACCCCCATAGAAACACAAAGTGAAATATACTGTTTGAGTACTCGTTATAGCATTAAGCCTCAGTGTACAGCACATTAAGGACAGAGATCCTACATGAGGAGTAAGTGCACAGTGACTCCTGTTGTTGACTTTACAAATTGACACTCCTGTTTATGGCATCAGTAATCTCCCTATTATTTTTATGTGGTGAACTTCATCATTGTTTTATTTTAAGAAATTGACAGAGCCACTCTAACCTGTAGTAACCACCATCCTGATCAGCCAGCAGCCAGCAACAAAGAGGTAACATCTTTCATTATCAAAAAAAAAATGACAAGCCAGGGCTGGCACTGTGGTGTAGTATGTAAAGCCACCGCCTGAAATGCCAGCATCCCATATGAGCACCAGTTCGAGTCCTGGCTGCTCCACTTCTGATCCAGCTCTCTGCTATGGCCTGGGAAAGCAGTAGAAGATGGTACAAGTCCTTGGGCCCTTGCACCAATGTGAGAGATCCGGAAGAAGCTCCTGGCCCCTGGCTTTGGATCTGCACAGCTCCAGCTGTTGACGCCATCTGGGTTGTGAACCAGTGGGTGGAACATCTCTCTCTATGTGTCTCTGCCTCTCTGTACCTCTATCTTTCAAATAAATAAATCTTTTAAAAAATGACATCACTGAGGACTCATAAGATAGCAGTTTTTTTAACAATAAAATCTTGTTAAAATTGAAGTATCTATGTTTTTAGACAATGTACACGCAATAGATTTCAGAAGATTGTAAGCTTAACTTTTATATACACTGAGGAAACTTAGAAATTCATGTGAGCTGCTTTATTGTGAAATTTGCTTTATTGCAGGGTCTGGAATGCAATCTGCAGTATCTCTGAGGTATGCCTGTATTCTAATTATATAACAGGTTTCTGTTGTCATGGTCTCAGCAGAAAATCAGAACACTAGCTTTCAGATGCTCGACTACTTGATACTTTATTATTAACACCAACTAAGTGTTAATATTCAATCCACCAGACATGTAAACAACTTGTAACAGTCATGTGAATATGGGTTTAAAACA